GTCTCTATATATGGGTTTGTAATTTAATGATAGAATATAATATTTATAATTTATTTATATAATGATATAAAATAAATTTGAAAAACGCATCATTCGCTCAAGTGACACATTCGCTCAAGCGAAAAATACCAATTTCCGCTCAAGCTAGGCTTGAACGAGTGAATTTCTGTGAGCTTTAACGTATTTTCACTCAAACGAGAGTCAATCTCACTTTCACCCTCGATCGCGCCCTCACATCCAACATAAAAATATATAAATATATTTGTATTTATATATTTACACGGATATATATTTATTTGTATATAAATATAATTTATTTGTAAATTATTATCAAAAAATTATAGTAGTTTAGTGGTTGGAGTATTAATTTTCAACTCTAAAATACTATATTCGAATCCTATCAGTGACAATTTTCTAACTTAAGTGAATTTTTTACTGAAATAAATAAAAACACTTTCCAGAAAATATATATAAATAAATATATATTTACACGGATATATATTTATTTGTATATAAATATAATTTATCCGTAAGTTATTATCAGAAAATTACAGTAGTTTAGTGGTTGGAGTATTAGCTTTCAATTCTAAAATACTAGGTTCGAATCTCGTCAATGACAATTCTCTAACTTAAGTGAATTTTTGGTGAAAAAAAATAAAAACACTTTCCAGAAAATATAAATAAATATATATTTATATGGAATATATATTTATTTGTATATAAATATAATTAATTTGTAAGTTATTATCGAGAAAATTACGAGTAGTTTAGTGGTTGGAGTATCAACTTTCAACTTTAAAGTATGGGTTCGAACCCTACCAGTGACAATTCTCTAACTTAAAAGAATTTTTGGTGACATTCAACGTCGGTTCCAGATGAACCGACGTTGAATGTACTTTCTACATCGTTTTTTAATCAACCGACGTTGAAAGTGCATTTAACGTTGGCTCAGCTTTAACCGACGTTAAATGGCAACGTTGAAAACATATTTTGTAGTAGTGTATAATTAAAAGGATTCAAAAATGTATCTGAGCAATGTTTTGCAAGCAAATATATCATTCTATTTGTTTCATTATAAAGGCACAAGTTATCCTCGCCATTCAGAAGTTAGATATATTATTAAAATTAAATTAGTAGATAAGCAGAGATTTTAAATCTTGAATTTTAAATCCAAATGTAATAAAATTTATGAGGCCTAAAAAGATCATTAGAAGAAAGTTGCGCCTTCACAGACATAATCAATGAAAACATTTTATCAAAAATATATAGGTATTAAAAAAACTGAATCCCAGTATCTCTCTTCCACTTTCACATTGAGAATGAATGATGTAGGTGGGAAATGTATATTTGGTATCATAAATTCTTAATACTTATGGCATACAAATAAAATTGCGACAAAGTAACACAAGTTTGAACTGTAAGGCATTTGTGCGAGACAAGTGTGGGCTATGGTCCGCATTAGGCTTATCAAAAAACCAACAGCTTGAAGGGCAATATTATAAAGCATGTATTATTTGTTTATAACTACCTCAAATTATATTATTCTACATCATACATTTTCAACATGGAGACATGAAAATTTTGATGAAGTGCTAAATTAATAGTATAGTACTATTGTACCATATGCTATATGATAGTATTGTATTATATTGAAATTAATTATTCACAAGTGTGTTTGAGGCGCCGCTAGCACATATCATCGTACATGCTTGCTCATTTTCCTATTTTCTCATCCTTATATATCATGATGCACCAAAAGTATGAAAAAAAAAATTATATAAATTTATGAATGTTATTACAAGACTGAGATCAATTTTCACTGGCGGGCCGAATTCTACTTAAGTAAGTCTTTGTTTAATTAGTAATAATTGATGCATTCGAGTTTTCAAATTCGAGGTATGGTTGATGGGCTGCAAAAGACATTATCAAACTAAGTTACTAATGGACAATACTAACAGTTTTGCTCTTGCATTTTTTTTTTTTGAAGTTTTTTTTTTTTTTAATTCTAATCACAAAACTTTTATATTAAATTGAATCATTTTTATAAAAATATAAATTAAGTTTTGTTCATAAATATTAGAATTTAGTTTTTTTATTCTTGATGTCCTAAGTTTCACATTATTTATAAGTTATTTTCATTTAAAAAAGTAATTTTTTTAATCTTTTATATTGATTTTTTAATTCTTTTTTCATCATAACCTAAAAAACTCAATTTTACCTAAATTTATTTTGTAATCATAATTTATGTTCTACTCATTTAAATTAAATGTTTTTTAAATTAAAATTAAAATTTAAAACGAAAATTTCTACCACATTTTTAAATCATCCCAATCAAAATTTTATAATTTAAGATAATATTTCTAAAATTCTACTCTAACCTTAAAATTTTCGTCACTTTCTAATTCACCTATATCTAATCCTAAAGAACCTAAGTGGGGTTATCAGCTACCGAAGTTTTTTTGTTTTTGTTTTTTAAATTACACTTGTGACATTTTGCAGACTATAAATGGGAAATGGTCAGAAAAAAATGGCAATATTTGCGATACCGCATAAAAAAATTGTAGTTTCTCTTTAATTTATTGATCGATTCTTAGATAATATTATAAAAAATTCCAAAAGTTTAAAATACATAAAAATAACTATTAATTTTTTTATATTTACATTTTTACTTAATTTTATTTAATTTAAATAATCTCACTTTTTTTATTCTCAATTTTCTGACGCCATTCAAACAAAAAATTAATGTAATTTTAGAATGTCAGCAATAAGAAATGTCCCATCCTAGATAAAAATGGTAGGGTTAGCTTCATTTAATACTTTATCAATACTATATGCAGAATAGGGACCAGTTCTAGTTCTAGATAGATATGCAGGTGGGGTAGCATTTCAAAATCAGTGCGATCACTGAGTTGGTGTTCCTAAAATAAGCATTTGAACTATGCACTGTATCACTATATTTTATATGATTTATGGTGTCTTAAGATATGCTGAAATGTGCATAGAAATTAAGCAAGTGAAGAAGGGACAGAGAGTGTGAGAAAGTACAAAGAAGATTCAGACAAGCAGGTAAGTGAGTTCACCTGATCCACTCGCAACACTGACATCCCATGAGACCATCACATTACAATGATTCATTCATTCATTGTTTTATTGTTACATGGAGCAGCCTCTGCTCACTCTCTCACAGTGTGGCAACTTTTTTGTTGGCCCCAGACATATGGTGGGGCTTGCGAGTAAAAACCGCATATATGCGTTCGAATCAGAAAAAGAATCTGAAATAAATCAGAATCAAAACCAGAACAGAACACAAACCACAAACACAAGCTTCCCTCAAGGCTCAATGATCTGCCGTCCAGCCAATGCACGACCTCAAAACTCCACCGTGTAATCAATCACCTTTACAGGATGCCACACCCACTAACCTTGCTAAATCATAATCACAACAAAATGCTTAAAGATACACAATACAATACAATACTTAAATATACCCACTAATTATTTTACCAACGCAACATTAGATATTACAATTAGCACAGTCTCAGACTTTATAGGTACAATCAAGTCAATTCCTTTTAGCCTCAAAGTGATTTGCTAGCTTGCTTCGGTCTTTTCATGATCCAACCCACGTTTTTCTTTTTCATTTTTTTACCCTTAGTTTGTGGCCAAGTACACCGTGGCTTTACGCTGCTTGTTTACACATCCATGAATCTGTCCTCCCTCAATTAGGGGGGACCCAAAAGATTTTTTTATCTCTTCAAATATAAAATAAATGAAAAGCTGTCTACTTGAATTTATTCGTATTATTATATATTATATATTACAAAAGAGTCATGTATTTAGATAGGAAAATGATACTTTTATAACCCAAATTTATATAACTTCTCTAAAATAATTCTGTTTTAATATTATAATAATAGTTTTATTTTATTTTTATTTTTATTAAATTAGTCTATAAATTATTATATTAATAAAAGTGAGTTGTTTGAAGGGTAACTTCTTTAAATAACTCTGTTTTAATATTATAATAATAGTTTTATTTTATTTTTATTTTTATTAAATCAATGTGTAGATTATTATATTAATAAAAGTGAGTGTGTAGATTATTATATTAATAAAAGTGAGTTGTTGAAAGGGTGGTATGATTTCTGGTTTTAAAAGGATCAGTACCCATTTATATATATATATATATATATATATGTTTGAAGGGTGATGCAAGCATTACGTCACCCTATTGCTAGCGTTGGAGAATGACTGACACCGTCGAACACTACAACATTGAACGAGGGGAATAAACGTGAATAGATTACTCCGTTGCCAGCAATGGCATAAATTCGACCATACGTCTCAATCACCTTCCATTATGATCCAATACAGAACGACGAATGCCCCTAAAACCAGACACAACAGGAGTGGGATCCTTTCTCCTGTGTTTCAATCATACACTTGCTGTGTTTACTTTCCCGTGTGCACTACTTCAATTCCAACTCCAACCCTTCATCATCCAACGATTAATAAAAAAGCTAACACAAACTCACAAAAGTTACTCATTATCATCCTTTCCTGAAAATTACAAAATTACAACACCCCTCCATCAATCATGCACCCTACCAACTAAACACCAACACCCCCCCTTCTTAATCATGATAAGCTGATAACGAAAGCTTAAAAAAATGCCGATCAATAAAGTTTACCTCTTATGATCCCCGACTTTTTATTCAAAGCGATCTCACCTAGTCTCAAAATCACAACGTGTTACCATCTCATTATTTCATATACTAATATTGCCTGCTACTCAGATAGAAACCGATTCATTTCAACAGACACTTATTCCTATAGTTTTAACCCCATATAATTAAGAACAATGAAATGATAATATTTAGTTGGAATTCTAAAAATGGGTTTTGAAGTATGGAACATGGAAATATATATGTTGGTATAATATTATATAAGGAGAGGCTTAAGATATTGAACTATTAAGGAAGAAGAAGCGTTTACAGTAATCATATATCAGGTGGTGACTCGGAAATGCTTTCCAAATGAGGCCTCCAAACGGCGACACGTCCTCGTCTTCTGTCCCTCTGCGTTGAAAGCTTCTCAGAGAGTATTTCAGTCAAGTAGCGATCGTTCGAGACGAGCAAGTTTGCCACGGAAATGGCATCACTGTTGTTGTTATTATTGTTGTTGTGATTTCGGTTGTGGTGGTTGTTGATTCTCTCGTTGTGGTGGTCCTTCCTTTTCTTCTTCCCGGAGGAGAGTCTCTGGCGGTGATTCTTGTCGGACGGGGGGGAGGGGAGGGGCATGAGGAAGTAAATCTTGCCGCGCTGGAGGTCAGCGTCGGGAGGGACCACGACGATCTTGGGAACGACGCCGTCTTGGGTGGATGGCGAGGATGGCTTCTTGAGCACGTGTTTGGGGTGCGCCTTCATGATCTCGCTGGCCTTAACGGTGCCGCTGATTTCCTCGACGCGGCCGTTGGAGTGCACTATGCGGATTACGTCCAGTGCTCCGCATGGAAGAATGCAAGAGATGCAACAACGTATGCTGTTTCTCATGTCGTCTTCTTCTTCTTCTGCTCTCTCTCTTTTTGTTGGTACCGCAACTATCATAGAAAAGGAGGAGAAGAAGCGGCAGAAAAATTAGAGAGAGTAGGAGGTGGAGGAAGAGAGTGAAGAGGGAGAAAACTTGGTTGAGATTGTGTGCTTTTTTACGTTTTAGTAATGCAATGGGAACAAGTCACACAAAAATAATTTTGTACCAAATGATGCCTTTCATTTTCGTTATTATCTCAATTTTTTATAAAGAAAAAAAAAAACATTTGACAAATGTTAACCATCACTTCAGAGCAAGTCTAGTTTATGTGTATTGAAGTTATTTAATTTGATCTGAAGGCTCTTTTGGATGAACCGGGGAATATTTTTTTTTTTTCCATGGTAGCTAGGTGCGGGATGAAATTGATGGTGTGAATAATTGCAGAACAGTCTGTGGTTTAGGGTCCCTCACGTCACAGCCCCTGCCTTTTCTTTGGTATTGTGAAATGAATAGTATTAGGTTAGGAATGGAAGGTGGGTTCAGTGATATGAGTGGACACATGGCACAGTGAATGATGGGGACTGCTTAGCAAGCAAAAGCTTAGAACCTTTTGATGGGGCCATGAGTGGATGTGCGTGTATCAATTAAAGGTTGACACTTGTTGGCCAATAATGAATATTTACACTAAGTTTAGGTTAGGAGGCTAGTGGTGTGGGGTCAAGAAGTGAGAGAGTATATATGTTTGGAGTGGAGTTGCAACGGGGGCTGGGCTTGGAAATGAGATGTGGTAAATGGCTGAAGAGATCTTTCAATCATGTGAGATGAGGTTTTCATAGGATGGAAAGTAAACCATGATGGACTTTCACACTTTATCTCTGTTGGGTTTTAGGTTAGTGAGTGAGTGCTTTGACTAACCTAAGGTGCTTGTCTACTACCCAAATCACCAGTACCAACTCTATCCCTTCCACATTTTCTCCCAATTTCATCCCGTCCAAGCCAATAAATTATTATTTTTTTCTTATTTCCTACACCATAAGTATATTTTGCTACCTATGTGCCTATTATCTCCACCACAATAATATGTAGTATATTTATGATTATAGATTAATTATATATGTACTCCAACATCAACATCATCGTTTGAAGGCGAGGTTGTATATGCTCCAAAAAATATTGACCTAGGATGAAGTTGAAATCAGAATAAAAAGGGTAAGATTAAGTTCGAAATAGTAATCATGGAGCTACGTCACTCGTGCCTGATATAGAATATCATCTATAAAATTATAATGAGATTAATTTAACATTTTTTATTATTAAGAAAATTTACATGACCATCTCATCAAACAACTGAATCTTCTATGAGATTAAGAGTTGTTTTACATAAATTTTTCACAAAGATAAAATGTGCCAAAAGGACATCTCCTGACATTGTTCTTCTTACCTATGATGAATTGTGCAAACTCAGTTGGAAATAAAATAAAAATGTAATATAGAATTTAACCACAAAAGTCAACTAAATAAGATTGTCTTTAACCTCAATTTTCGGTTGACAAACTATTTATAGACATATTTGGTAGAATTTTTGTATAATACCAGATAAAATAAAGTCAACTATCATCATCTACCATGTCTTTGCTTTCTGCATTTTTTTTATCGTTGTTTTCACAACTCTAACATTTCAACGCCAACGTATATGAAACGAGTTGCTGTCTTCTTGATAGGTAATAAGAATGCTGCAGAGCTACTTGTTCATAAGAGTGAATGAATTTTTTTCCCTCTATTTCTTGGCTATTTATATGATTTTGTCCTACTACTCGCTATGTTTTTAGTTAGTTTGTTTTTCATGACTCTTTCTGTTTTCTTTCTTTCTTTATTATGGATTTTTCTTTTTACCTATTTACAAGTTCATTGCTAATTTGGATGTTTTATTTCTACTCTCTTTTTTTTTCTTCAATTAATAATTTATTCTATTCGATAATCCATTGTGCATACTAATTTTAAAAATGAGTTGATGTTGTTTCTTGATGTAATTGCCACATTATATTAATTTATCAAACGCTGAGATAAACTAATAATAATAATAATAATAATAATAATAATAATAATAATAATAATAATAATAATAAATAAATGACTAAACTAATAATGTAATAGCCAACTTTAGTCTTTATCTTTCGTCAACAAACAAGTGAGCCCCAAAAAGGAAAAAACAAAAGGAAAAATAATAGTGCGTGAAGAAATGAAAAGGAAAGGGAAAATTTGGGAGCCCCAGAATGGTTGAGCAGTGCACACAATTATTGATAGGGGAAATCACAGTTGTTATCAAACATTGTTCAAAAATTGTTGAAGAGTGAGTGGATAACTTGCTTTCAATTCTGTGAAATGACATGTTTTAGTGTTTAGCAATTTGGAAAGCAAATGAGGAGGGAGCATTATTAATGAGGCTAATTAGAAAAGCTCAAAATCCAGCCAGCTGAATCCAATCAAAGTGTTTCAGAAATTAGGGGATTTTGCTTAGTCAGTGCCCCACAAACAGCCCCTGACAAATTAACCACTCTCTATTTCATGCCCTTCCTCTCCTCTTCAACTCATGAAGGTTAAGAAAACACAAAAACTATGTCCTTTGCTTTGGATGAAGAATATATAAAACCTTTTTATTGAGTTTGTATGTTAAATAAGTTATGTTTAAGATATGGTGTGATAATTAAAGTGAACAGTGGAAGAAATAACAAGAGAGAAGATAAAGTTAATTGAAGATGGGCAGGGATTGAGACTTGGAATGTATCAAAACCAGTTTTGTGTCCCTTCAACGAATCTACACTTGCTGCTGAGTTAACTTCTTCCATTAATACATGATATTGTCATGTTGAGATATTGGAATGGTTGAGACCCCATATGAGCAACAATGGGGTGGATATAACACGAGCGTCATGTCAGATTGGCCCTATGGTCTTAAATGTTGACCAAGTTGTGTTGTTGTTATTATTATGATTATTCCTTTTAGTACACATTGTGGATAATGAAAATAACTAAGAAAGAAAAGAAGTGAAAAAAATTATATCTTTTGTTTTCCAAGTAGTTTGATTTTAATACAAAATTGATTAAGAGTGGTCCTTAAAATATTTGGATGTACATTGCCATCATTTTAAGCATAGCATTCAGATAGCAAGTCTTCTTATTTTAACTTTATTTGTTATCATAAATTCTTCTTCCATTATTGTTCTTTCTATAAAGAAAAACGAAGGTGCAAGATCTTTGGTTAGAAGAATTGAAGGATTAATGATGCGTATTCTGGGTGTTCACGTGAACTTGTAATTAAAGATCTTCACTTAATACCACACGTAAACCCAAAATGAAATCAGTAAAAATCTAAACATCTTTTTACTTTTATTGTCCTATGTAGCATTATTAGTCAGTGGGGACTATCTCATGCCATGAATTTCTAAAGTTTCACATGGATCTTAAGATAATGTATTTAAATTTATGCTAGCTTAGAGTGTCAAAGAGTAATTTAGTGAGCTTTTACGTGGAATAATTACTTTTTAAAAACTTTAAAGTCCTGACTCTCTTAATTATATGTTATTTTTTGCGTCTAATTTATGATCGTGATTATTCTCCGACGCAATAATTTTTTGAATATTTCGCTTATATTATTGTCTTCACTTAAATCATTTTAAAGTAATGTGAATCACATTCAAATGATTTTCCTTTCTTTGACTCGTAGTGTCTCTTCAAACCACTCTATCATTATTAAGATGAAAAGATATCCAACTCTATCCATCTAAAATGTGAGAAACCTCTTAGTTTTGTCCTATCCTTAAGCCACAAAATTCACTTTCACCCTTATTTTCCCTTCTTCAAATAAATCATATATTATTTGAAACGTTAACTGATTTGATCCATATGAACGTCCATGGTATGTATGGAACAATGAATATTAATTAGCACATAAAAAAAGTTTGAAAAATTTGTTATAAGGGAAAAAAATTAATCGATAGGCGCACGTGGACCGCGATTATTGCATGATTGCAAACCGGATTCGGAGCCAGTTTTATTGTGAAAAAACAAATTGAATATAATAATTTAAAAGGAAAATAGTAAAGTTATATGTTTTTCTTTTTCATATATGTTTTGAGGCGGGTTATTAATATGAGGACAAAAATAAAATAAAAAATAATACATTACTAATTTATTGTAAATGAAACAAAAGAAAAGTTTTCGCTGGATATAAAAAAATAGAAAAGAAGAAGAAGAAGAAGAAGAAGGTGAATTGAGAAGCATCTCAGTAATTGTTGGGAACTGGTGGGAAGGATATTGAAGTTATGGTCATAATTTTAGTCTGTAGGGGTGTTAATAGTAAATCTCTCTTTGGTCCATTTTTAAACAATTCTCCTTCGGTTCATCATACAAAACTGAAAATAATATTGTCACTCCTATAATTTCTCCATGATAACTTCATATCCCAAATTAAATACCTAAAATATTATTTTATATTTTTATTTTCTATTTAAAATTTTCCCTTGTATTTATGCATATTTTTTATTCTTCCATCCTCCAGTACCTCCATTAGTTGAATATTTAATTTTTTTTGTTACATATTTTCTACTCTCAAATTGTATAAACAGACTCAAAAAATACGATTGAATTCCTGGACACCCAATCTAAAATGTATTTTTTAGATTGATTTATTTGGAAACGCATTATGAAACACTCATTTCGAAATATTGTTATGAAGAGTTAGATGTATTTTTAGAAATCAATTCCAGAAAGATAAATTTAAAATACATCTCCTGAAAATCAATTTCAAAAATATATTCCAGAATATATTTTTTCAAATATATTTCTAAAATATTAATTCCAAAAATACATTATAAAAATTACATTCTCAAATACATTTTTAAAATTGATTTTTTTTAGAAACACATTTCGAAACGCACTTTCTAAAATATATTTTTAAAAAATTAATTCTAAAATATATTTTTAAAAAATTAATTCTAAAATATATTTTAAAAAAATTAATTCTAAAAATATATTTTAACAATTGCATTTCAAAATATATTTTTAAAAAATTAATTTTAAAAATATATTCTAAAATATACTTTTAGAATATATATTTAAAAATTTAATTCCAAAAATACGTTATGAAATACATTCTACAATATATTTTCAAACAAATAATTCTAGAAATGTATTTCAAAAAATTTTTTTTTTTCAAAACATGTTTTCTGATTTTTTTTTTTGAATTTTCTCGGTCAACAAAGTAAAATGGGAATGGGATTTAATTTAATTAATGTAAACGAAGCAACAGCCCAAAAACAAAAAAAAATTATAACCCAAGAATCACCGATCTACCTTTATACACGAGTTGGGCTTCTTTCTCTTTCTTCTTACATGTCTTTCTTATTTTTAAAATAAAATGTAAACAAGGATTGTTTATTTATATTTTACTTTAGTTTTATTCTTTTTATTTAACAAAAATCTGGAAAATGCAGAAGAAGAGAAGAGGTGGTTGAAGGGATGAACCTAGCCGAAACCAAAAGTCGCACTTCCATCTTGCATGGCACTTCTTTTGGAATCACAAACTAATCAATTCATCTGACAAGTGCAAAATCTCACCCAATCACTCCTAAATTCAATTTCCCCAGTCACACTCATTGTTGAATAGTTCATTCTCCCTTGAACCATGCCGGTTTTCAAAACCCCCTTCAACGGCTACTCCGTCAAGTTCAGCCCCTTCTACGAGAACCGCCTCGCTGTCGCCACCGCCCAGAACTTCGGCATCCTCGGAAACGGCCGCCTCCACGTCCTCGACCTTTCACCTGACCCTTCCCTCCCCATCGCCGAGCTCGCCGCCTACGACACCGCCGACGGCGTCTACGACGTCGCCTGGTCGGAGTCCCACGACTCCATCGTTATCGCCGCCGTCGCCGACGGCTCCGTGAAGCTCTACGACCTCGCCCTCCCCCCCACCTCCAACCCGATCCGCTCCTTCCAGGAACACACCCGCGAGGTCCATTCCGCTGACTACAACCCCGTCCGCCGCGACTCCTTCCTCTCCTCCTCCTGGGACGACACGGTCAAGCTGTGGACCCTCGACCGCCCCACCAGCGTCCGCACCTTCAAGGAGCACGCGTACTGCGTCTACTCCGCCGTCTGGAACCCCCGCCACGCCGACGTCTTCGCCTCGGCCTCTGGCGACTGCACCGTCCGCGTCTGGGACGTCCGCGAGCCCGGGTCCACCATGATCCTCCCCGCCCACGATTTCGAGGTCCTCGCCTGCGACTGGAACAAGTACGACGAGTGCGTAATCGCCACCGCCTCCGTCGACAAGAGCCTCAGGGTCTGGGATGTCAGGAACTATAGGGTTCCGGTGAGTGTGCTCAATGGGCACGGGTATGCCGTGAGGAAGGTGAAGTTCTCGCCGCACGTGCGGAATTTGTTGGTGTCTTGCTCTTATGATATGACGGTGTGCGTTTGGGACTTCATGGTGGAGGATGCGCTTGTGAGTAGGTATGATCACCACACGGAGTTTGCAGTAGGGGTGGACATGAGTGTGCTTGTGGAGGGGCTCATGGCTAGTACGGGTTGGGATGAGCTTGTTTATGTGTGGCAGCATGGGACCGACCCTAGGGCACCTTAACATAATAGGTACATTTCTTCTTCTACCAGAAGGAACATATATGCATCATCCCTTACATTGATTTTCAGGAACGGTATTTATTTATATACCAACGGATTTCGCTTTAAAAATAGGATAGGGAATGTCTTGTATACAGATTTTGATTGTTCATAATTTTTCTTGGAATAAACCATCGCTTTGGTCCTGAAGCATCACTATCTCTTCTAAATAGTCCCTAAACCAGTTAAATTATATATAAAGTCCTTAAAGTATTACACAAATTACTTTGTTTTCCTCGTTGAGTAGGTTGGAATTCACTGCTTGGCTCTTCAAGCGTCCAGCTGTTTCTATTGCTATTAACATTTTTATGACAGTGAAGTTTTAAAGGCTTCGGGTTTGTTATATGTTGTTCTTTGATTTCAACTTCCATTTTTGCCTAGGCTGTTCAGAACTAATGTAACATAAAATGAAAAAGAATTGTTGGAAATTTGAAAGTGGGCAAGAAGTAAGAGGATGAAGTTTGATGTTGTTATAATATTGGACTTTAGTAGCCACATGGTGTGTTTTGTCAAATTCTGGACACGTTAGCATTGTCCATGCAAGTCTAAACTAAATTGTGTGGAAACTGAACTGTCTTTACTGTTTTTAGGATGGTCCATAATGTGTTGCCGTGGAATACTATATTTGTCTCTTTTTTTTGGTAGAAATTTCTTTGTTTGTCTATTACATCTAGTTAAAGTCCCCACCCCTTTTCTTTGTTTTTGACAGAGTGAAAGATGAATATTGTGCAATAGATCTGTTGCACATTCAAACAAGCTTCAAGTTACAGATTATACATAATTCACCAGTGAGGCGCTCTGGAATGTTGAATAGTCTGCTACAATGGTGAATTATGGATGCCAACAGGTGGATATGCAACTTTGTTACTACCTATATTCTTTTTAAAATCTATAATCAAAATCTGTTTCTTATCATGTTTGACAAAGAAAAAGTAAACTCCATATGTCTTGTAAAATCTCTTATTTGAAACATCAAACACCCAAGATATCTAAATATTGAGCATTGTTATGAAAATTTTGGTAGATGATTGAAATATAAGGTGAATCTTTGAAGGAAAAAAGACATAAATCTAAGATTTTTCATCTTACTTTATATAGGCTCACATGCTGGCTTGCCAATAGTGTATGGAAACTTAATACAATAAGATGACAATTTATCCGCCTACATTGATCTAATACTATTATCTTGTTTTACAAATCCCAGTGTAGGGGAAATTTCTTAATATATCAAATAGGTGTTTGTAACTTTGTTTATAAGGGATTTTAGGATTCTTAATTAGGTCTTCTTATTAGAGTTGAGACGAATTTGTCAAATAGATGTCTGACTGATAGGTTATTTTAAAAAAAAGACTGTACTTATCAAACAAGAAGTTTCCTTTAGGGTGCATACTTGGATTAGCATATTTTCTCTCCAAAATAACTTGTAATATAGAGAAGTGGTAGTAACTCACTCTCTAATATATTTTTTTTAGCATGTACTCTATCATTGATGAAAATTTATTGAACATTACAAAACCAGGATTGAGACTCTAAAAGAGAGGTGACATCTATCAAAATTTGTAGTTTTTAATAAAATTTAATCAATAGTTGAGCGATAAAAAAATTGAATTAGCAAGTGTTTGCTGTCATTTATCTATAATCAAAATCTTTGTTAGAGAGCTTTTGAAAAAATAGTCATTTTTTCTTCTTAATTTTATTAGAGCATTCTGGCCTTCAACAGTTCATCCAATCGGACAGAACAGTTATCTTGGAGGATATCAGTAATTTACCATTTAGAATGTGTTACTGGTGTTACCCATTCAGTAATTGATTTGATGTAGAATGAAATGATATTGTAACCTTAAACTTGAACTCTGACTTCTTTTATCCTTTTTCCTTGATAAAACGGGATTTCCTCATACCTGTAGAAATCTGCGGTGTACAAGAGAATGAGGAATATGCTCAATTTAGCCTCCCCTTGGCATTTGGGTCATGCCTAAGGTTGTATAATTGAGTTGGACTAGTTTAGAATTGATGATATTAGTAAGTAGGTTTGAAGTCACGCATATGAGATTACAAACCTTAAAATAAGAAAAGGCAAAGGGACCATACAGAAGCTTTTAATCATGATTTTTTGTCTAACTTTAGGGTAATTAGTCGCAAAATTCAAAATATGAATATTCTATATCTTGTAGTTGCTATAATAATCTTATCCACAAGGGTCATTTACTTATGTGAGTTGTCAAATATGATCAGCATGCAATAGAGGAGTCGTAAACGGCAACTCACTTTGGTTACTGGTACCCTTGAAAAAAATAGTGATGGGTACCCATAGGAAACCCAATAAACTTACGATTGATTAGCTTTTGAATTCTCAGTTCTCAAATATCACATAAGAGGTTGTGAATTTCTGCATGCATAATTTGGAATTAAAAGGTGAAAAGACGACATATGTAATAAAGAAATAATTATATTGTGAAAGATTAGCAATATTTTAATATTGTTTAGTGTACACAACAAATAGTGCCCCCAGAAAAAAACTATTAGAGAGAATAAAATCAACCCTCCATATATTGGGGAATGAATAAATATAGCCCTTGACTTTCAACTTCTATTTTGTATTGTAAGTTGATTTGTTTTATGCTTACTAAACTCTGCTTGATTATCCTTTCGCCATTGTCTCATTGATTCCTCACTCCCCAGTGAAGAATTTGTGCTTGCTAGCCACCCTTGGTTAACAAACAGTTTACCACATATATTAGCCTAACCTACAGGTCACAATGGTGACTAGAAGACCCTCCCATCAATGGCTTCTCCTGTTTGAACTTTGGTTTTCCTTATACTCTGGCTTGGTTATCAACCTTTGGTCATTAAGGCAATCTAAGTTAACAAACAAAAGAGACTATTTGAGAATATAATATTTTCTAATTTCATTTTAACTACAAAATTAAGAATCTTCCGTGTTATCTGAGAAACATATTAACTCTAATGTCTTCTTGAGGTAGAGGTAACGTTTGTCTCTGTCTTCACCTCTTGATTCTTTGCTGTAATCTTGTACACTAAGTTTTGCAATGCCCAATCTTCCTAGAATTCCGTAGTCTTCGGATTATGGGAACTTTGATGATTCTTGGATTTAGACATTCTATCTTTTGAGTGAGTCTGATTGCAAAATTTGACCCATTGTGAAACTTTAGAAATATTTGGCCCAAGTCTGACCTGCATTCGTAATGGACCGGGTTGGCCCATGGACCACAACCCACTTGAACAACCCTTGTTGGTAACAAAGGTAATCTAGTGTAAACAAAATACATGGGATTGGTTATTTTCATAAACTGGTTTACGATTTCACTTTGCTTCATTTTTATCACAAAAGTACTATATTTTCATTTTATTTTCTGTTATGAATTTTACTTTTAACAAAAAGATATTTTGTGTTATTAGAAATAAAATTGCCAAAACGAGTGCTTTGGTATGGTCTTATTTATATTTTAAAATAGGTTATGATTTTTAGTTTAATTTAATTTTTAGGTTAAAAAAAATAATTTTGGTTCAATTGAAAATAAAAAAAATATTTTAATATATTTATATTAAAATAATTAATTAAAATATATTTAAATAACAATTATATTTTTAAAATTTAAATTATATTGATATTATTAATTTTAATTTAAGATATAATGATTTAATATATATATATATATATATATATATATATTAAGAGAATAAATTTATTTAATTTTAAAATAAAAGTTAAAAATTTATTTTTTGTTATCTTCATTTATTCTTAATAATATAATAATAATGTTAATTATTAAATCTTGAAATAAACATTTATTAAAGATTTATTATAATATATATTTTTAAGTAAATTTTTTATCAAATTAATTTATAATATATATATATATATATATATATATATATATATATATATATATATTTGAATAAAATAATAATAAAAATAATTATTATTTTATATAATAAGTTAATCTATAAACTTATAATTAGTATTTTGTAAGTTCATATAAGTTATGGAATCAATTTATGTCATAGATTTATTAATCTAATCTAGTTTAATTTTTAGTATTTTGGATCAATTAATCTGACTAACTCTTTTACAGCGAAACAAAAACGAAAACAAGGGGATTCTTATTATGAATTTTAAAAAACAGAAAGAAAGTTGAAGTATTTTATTCTACATTTGTAACTTCATGATTACTTTATTTAGTCCTTTTGATGGTTCCGCATTTATTTTGCTTGCAATCACCTCACCCCAACATTTTAGACATGGTTAAATGCTATTGCTCTTTATCTGATGTTTACCAATGAAGTTAGTGACACAAATTTAGGGCCTTTAAACCTTAAACTAAAGGAATCATCATTCAGGACTAGTTGAGAGTAGTTCAATGCGACTTGTAGCAGTTCAGATGAATTACCGAAATCCGGATAACAAACATTTTACTTTCAACCTTCGTCCTCTCATGATTGAGATGTACTTTTCCCCTTCTTTTACATCGGTTTTGTAAATTGTAGTTTATTTTTCTTAGGAGGATATCAAGAGTCCTTGGAGAACATATTAAAGAATTAATGGTGATAAATTTTCATATTAGGAGAGGGAGAATTTTTCATTTTGACTTTAATAAAAAAAATTAACCTTTGCTTGTTTATTTGTCAAATTAGTTATCCCTCGTTTGCAATACACTTCTTCTTATATGTTTGTAATAAAGACAACTTAATATATTTCTTAAAATATTTCTGGAGTTCTCATATTAAATATTTATAACGTGAATTATGGAAGCAAAACTCTAAATTTAATTTGACATAACAGTAAGATCTCATTATAAAATGCATGTTTTTATTCTTGTAATAATGTACATATTTTATCTATTGCTGAAAGAGATAAATCGTGGCGTTACAGATTTTCAATGGAAATCCATTCTTCATCGCTGTGTAGACATGTCATCTATAGCACATGGTTTGAATGTAAACTACGGGCTCACTGGGAATGACCTCCAACCCACTATAGAAAATGGTGCTCCTGTTTTATCAAGAAAATAAAACGAAGCGTTATTCATCCCAATAAGGATAAAACTAGCCACCTCAAGCTTAGCATCACATCTTGCATCACCTCAATGTCATCTTTGTCGTCCAGTTCTAAGAACAAGGCTTTCTGTTAGTTGCTATCTCACATTTGTTCATTCACATGGCCAGAGTGGATTCTATTATACTCTCTTGGCATCAACAACAAAAAAGCGACCGCATAAATTTCCTTCTCTGAGCTCAAAAATCGTTAGTTCACTTGAATTTCACTAAAAAACAGGGCTTTCACTTTAAACGCACACGAAGTAGTCACACTTTATTATAGAAACGAGAAGAGCAGTGAGAGTTGTAGGTTTTTCTTATCTACTATAATTACTGTGATTTAGTATGTTAAAGAGTCTTAAATAACTTTAAAAGCGTTATCTAACTGGCAATTGAAAGGAAGAGTGGTTTAATGATGATAAATGATGACATTCTATTCCTCACCGACAGGGAGAACTGAGGATAACTATCACCAAAATATCTACTCCAACGCACTTAAGTAAAAGCAGCCAAACCGACCACACCGCAAAACAAGCCAAGCCTCGATCTTAGAACCTTCAACTTACTGAAGAATAAAGGGTTATAACTCTTCCCTTCATCAGCCAAAGACCTAAAGCTTTGTCATTTAGTTACTCCACAACCTACAAATCGATATAAATACACCCACACGCAAAGGGTCCTCGACAAAGAAAAAAATCAAAAGCTAGTTCTGTTGCATTGAGAACTGTGGATGTAGATGCTTTGCAAGCAAAATCTAGAGACTCCAACAGTAAAAGCTATGCTTAACACCTACCATAGCTCCAAACTCTGTTCAAACCAGTGTGGTTCTAGTCTTGTGCAAACAATCGACGCACCGTTACCTCTAGTATGGTCCCTTATTCGGCGCTTTGAGAACCCACAAGGCTACAAGCTTTTTGTGAAGAAGTGCACCATGCTTGCTGGTGATGGTGGCATTGGAAGCGTACGTGAGATCATGGTCACATCTGGGTTACCGGCTGGTGTCAGTGTGGAGAGGTTAGACAAGCTTGATGATGACAAACATGTCTTAAAGTTCAGCATCATTGGCGGTGATCACAGGCTGGTGAATTACAGTTCCACCATTACTGTGCATGAAGAAGAAGAGAAATATGGGGGGAAGACCGTGGCGATTGAGTCGTACGTGGTGGATGTTCCGGCGGGAAACAGTGTCGAAGATACGTGCTCTTTTGCCAACACCATCATAGCTTGCAATCTTAGGTCCTTGGCTAAGATCACAGAAGAAATGGTTTGTAAGGCCAAGTAAATTGTGGCCATGGCTATCTTAGTTTCTCTTCAGATTATTACCTTTGTTTCTTGTGTCATTATGTTGTTAATATTGTATGTCTATTTATTGATTTACAAGTTCTTGTGTAGCCTAAGATTACAAGGTGCTTAATTGCGTATATCATTTTACTCAAATGAAATTAACATTTGTGTTTATTTCGAATTCATTTTGTATGTTACAGTGTATTTTAATTGTCATTCAGAATTACGTGAAAAATACTCACTAGGCAAATAATTATATCTTGGATTCAATATCGAAGAAATAATCATAAAGACTGAATTCACACGACTTTATTTAATAGCGAAGCACAGTGGAAATTACTTTTAACGAAATTTGATTTTAAACGCCCAAAGTTAACGAAATTCACCGATGATCCAATTTTTTTCGGTCAATACCACTTTTCGGTCTACGCTTTGTCTCAATCAACCAATCAATGTCGTAGCCCAACGCGATTCCAAGAGCTTTGATAATTGTTTGGCGTCCTTGTTTAGTCCCGAGTACATTCAACAGTATCTCCTCCGCAAAAGGAATAGTTTTTTCCTTCACTTTTTCTTTTAGTTTAAAATACACACTCTTCTCAATTAAAATTATTGAAAAATATTTTTTTTAATCTCATTTCTTATTTAATAAAATGATTTTCTTCAATAAATTTTAATAATAAAAATATTATTGACATATTTCAATAAAATAAATATATATAGTATTAACTATAAAAAATAAACACATTTAATGTTTGCAACGATGTATTATGTTATGATATAATTTTATGATTAACGCGCTAAGTAAGATTTATGTAATGCTAATAATGTATGGTTGAAGATAGGTGGTGAGGAATAAAGATGATCCTATGACACATCAGTTCATAACGCTAGTGGTTACTCCCCATATCAGATGATTTTCGGCAAACCACCACCTTCTATCCCCACTATTTGCTGATTTAGAATTGCTTGCTGTATTGAAACACAAACTTGAGAAAGCACAGATACAAATCTAAATGATGAAAGACATTTTGGAGAAGAAGGCAAACCCAAAAGGAACATTATCAAACCCATTCATTAGAGATAAAAATCCATATCTCAATCAGGATAGAGTTGACTTTTGTCATTCTATTATTATATTTATTTATTTTGTTTTCGCAACATACATATACATTATGTTATTGCATCCCCGCACCTGCAAGTTACGATTGATTATTGACCCATCCTTTACACAAACCATGCAGAGTAATGAATAAAGTGGCAAGAGATCAGTTTATTTATTTGTGTTTTGGAGGCCTTCGCCTCGAACTTAAGGCAATTCAGTGTGCTGCTATCAGAGTCCCGGTCATTCACGCTACACTGCGTAAGACACGTTTAATAGACCTGCACAATTGCACTTAATCTTAGCATCCGACTTGATTCGCTAAATTTGTGCTTGAGAAGTGAATTTGGAGTTGTGGAAAATAAAAGAAGAAAAGAAGAAGCGAAAAACGTGATTGTTTAGATTAAATAAATAAAAAAAGTGAAGAGAAATAATTAAAAAATTGTAAAAGATAAAATTAATTTGATTAATTAAAAGATTTAAATAAAAAATAAAAGAAAATGAATAATCAAAATATTTTATTATAAATTTTAATTAGAATACATTTTAATTAAAATGTAATTTATCTAGTTGTTTATATTATAAAATAATAATAATTATTATTATTATTTTCTTTTACTGTTACGGAAAAAAATTATGAATTTTTTTACAGGACATAATTCTTGAAAGTTTAATCTTTTCTACATAACGTAAAGGCAGGCATCATATTGGGTACTAAAATTATTTGCTTGACAGAATAACTAACTATTACAACATACAAAAATGCAAGTCACTTTGGAGATCATGCTTGTCACTTTGGCCATTCATAACTACTTTTAATGGTTTATTCACCTCATTAAAAGGTAATCAATGTTGCGCAGCAATAATGGACCGATATGGGAGTTGAGTGAATAACATTGAGTGTTCTGTAAATACATGCCTATCACTCTAGGTAATTCCGCAGCCTTATTTAACTGACTCTCACCAGCATTTTGGCAGAATGCAGATGTAGATTTCTTTATCTAAATAAACTAACGACTTATCTAATACGTTGACCAATGGTAAACCATTGAAACCAAAGAAAACACATCTAACTAATGAACCGTAATGTACTGACTACGTCAAAGGCTTTCATTCAAACTTCAACAGTTAGCTACTATTACAGATCTTCTATGTAACGAGACAACAAAACAATGTCAAGAAAACTACGCTTTACAGGGCTGCGAGGAAGTATTGAAAACTGCCAAAAACACTGGAATAGAAATTAAAAGTAAATAATAAAAAATCCAACTAGATGAACATCATCAACTCTGGCCTACTGTATACATTGCTCTGCTCATCCTCCAAGGCAGGGTATGATGCTACAAGAGCATCTTGAGCTCCAATATATAAGGAGTTGTAAATCTTCCAATATACCTCCCTAACTTTCCGGGCAGGATGGAACAGCCCTTGCAGACAATAATTCAGAACTACAGCCGCTCCCAATGCTACCCTCATCCCTTCAATTGCTTCCATCACAGCATTAATCACATGCGGAGAAGTTTCAAAAATGTTCGGCCATACATAATTCAGCAAATGTACCAGGGCATCCTCACAACCCAAACCAGCCACTCCCAATGCCATGTGCTTCACAGCAGAGGCAGCAGTCTGCCTGTGAACCAAATCTCTGTCCATAAGAGCATCCTCAAGCAACGGAGTCACAGCATAGATGTAGTCCTTTCCCATTTCACCAATATACTCAAATAGGAAGGAGAGGGATTTCAGCACACCATTTTGCACATTAAGTTCTGGGACACGATACTCATTCATCAAAGCTGGTAAAACTGTGAAGGGTGAACATGTTTCTGCAACAATTGCAATAGCTACAGTCGTGCAGACACGGTTCTGCCTCTCCTGAACCTTGAGATTATTTAACAGAGTTGCTAGAACATCTTGTGGGCCAATGGCCTTTGCTATATAACCAAAAGTGTTCACTGTAGCTCTACGGATACCCTTCTTGTGTGCTTTAAGCATCTCAAGCAGCTCAAAACAAATTCTCATCCATTCTCTGGCTGGTACAAACTCAGCACCACGGTCAGCAATTCTGCCTACAAGGTCAATACAGTTCTCCTGAACTTTCTCATGCCTATTCTTCAAAATTGGAGTCAACCTTGGAAGTAAATCCTTAATAGGAGGAGTCATCTTTGTCATACCAATAACATTGACAATAGACTTGAGAGCTCCCAGAATTGATCCTAAAACCTCGGGGTACTCCTCTCCCAAATACTCATATAGGACAACACCAAGATGACCCATCAATTGTTCCTCGTGGCACTGCTTCATGACAACAGCAATCCTCGAAATGAGATCTGCTGCTTGCTGTCTCACCTTTGCACTCTTGTTGTTCAATCTCCACTTGATCGTACCACAAATCTGTGGAAGATATGGTTTCACTCTCTGTCCAAGTGAATTCACAACAGCACCAAACCCATTGAGCATCACGTTAGCATCATCACTGGTCTGCTCTTGGAAGGCATAAAGAATACCATCAATCAGAAGCTCTTCCAGCCGTGCATCAATATCAGATGCCCCCAAGTTAGTAACCACCTTCTCAATAGTTTCCATAACCATTCGCCGATATGGTTCACTCTCATCTTTAAGATCCTCAACAATTCTACCAACAATATCTGCAACACCAACCTTGTTTGCAATCTCTACAGTAGTCTCCACCAGTTGCTTATAGTTTCTTCTATCCAAAGCCATCCTCCTAACCCAGAAATTCCTGAAAAATTCAGGAAGGATATCATTTCTAATATATTCAGCTTCCACACCCTCAGTGCTCACACACTGCTTCACGACTTTCAAAACAATTTTCTTCATTTCTTCATCAGGTGACTGGAATTCACGAATCAGAATGAGCATTACTTCCTTAGTATAGTAACTGGCATACAGAGCTTCCATCAACGGAATAATAAATCCAATGGCCTTCAGAAATGCAGCCAACACCTTCCCCCGGTGCTGCCTAATACCCTTCCACAGTGGCTTCAAGACAGAGTCAAAACTTTCAATACCATAAGGAGCAGCAGCCTCAGCAAGGGCAGCAAGAGACAACGCAGTGATTGTTCTCACTTTCTGATTCTCATCATTCAGACCATGTTCTATAATTTCTACAAGAGATCTAAGATGTGGCAACACCGCACAACCAATTAAAATGGCAATCTGCTGCACAATTTTAATCCCTGTGTGCCTAGCCTGCCATGATTTCTTACTCTGACAAACTGCCTTCAAGAACGGTAACAGTGCAGGTATACCCAGAGCAGATGCAACAACACTAAAGGCCCTAGCAGTAGTGTTCCTAACATATTCATCAATGTTATCTATATCAGGCCGCATAGCAGCAATCATTGTAGCCAGCCCAGCAGCTTTACTGAGATTAGATATTATTTCTCTCCCCTCAACACGGGCATAGTAATCTTCATCAATCAACAAGGGTTCAATAACAACAAGAATCTTATGCACAAAAGGCCGAACCAACTCATCTAACTTATACAAAACCCTGTCTATTACCTTAACCAAAAGATGCCTCTCCTGATCCTCAAGTGTAGGCTGCATAAGCAACGGCAGGATCCGGTTAAACAAAGGCCCGGCACCAAACTCACGAGCCTTATCAGTAAGCTGCCTCAACGCTGTCTTCCTCTGAGGTGGTGTTCCATTCTTCACTTTAAGCAGAAGCTTCATAATCTTCCTTTCCTTTTGCTCATCTGGGGACAACTCCTCCTCATTCTCTTCATTCAACAGCGCCCCAAAGTACTGGTAATCCTCCGGCTTCATAAATGGCAATCCACCAGGCACCTCCTTTGGAACATCAAACTGTTGCCCACGATTCTCTTCAGGGATTTGATAAAGAGGAGTCCCCAAAGGAGTAGGAGTGGCAAGAAGCTTCCTAGCCGGCGTCCTAATGGGCACATACGAAGCAGGGGGCTCCAAAATCTTATAGCCTTCTTGGGGAAACATGGCATCAAGCTCCTCATCAGTCAAGGGGCGATTCCTCTCTTCAATATCCCTCTCCCACCTCAACAAATTGTACTGCTCCGGCGTGATGGAGCCTTGTAAAGCCCCAGGGGTGGGAGTAGCGAGTTCAACACCACCAACAGGAGTAACACCAGGAGTATAAGCAGCAGCCGGAGTAGCACCAGGCAATGGAGTAGCACTTCCCATAGTAGCAGGGGTTTCATCCCACCTCGACCTTTGCCTCTTAGGAGTTGGGGTAGCCATCCCAGCAAGCTTAGGAGTAGCATCCCAAGTCATACCAGCAGGTGTAGCACCAGGTGTAACACCGCCTGCACAGGGACGAAACCAGTCAATATAATTGAGTGGGGAAAAAATATTTAACACATAGGACAAGAGGACTGAAGAGGGGTGTAACACTACCTGCAGGTGTCGCATCAGAATCCGCAACTCTACCAGGGGTAGGAGTCTCATCCCACCGGTTCCTCCTTCCAGGTGTCGCATCTGAAACCCTCCCCGGAGTCGGGGTAGCATCCCACCGCCCCGGGGTGGTGTCAGGCATATCCCAATCAGACGTTTTGGCCTTCTTCACAGGGGCGGCGGCAGCACCACCATCATCCTGAGACTGGTCCCACCGGTTCCTCCTCTTCTGCTGCTGTTGCGGGGGAGCAGTCTTGGCAGCCTCCTCCTCCTCCTTCTTCTTCTTGGAGATGGCCTTCAGAGTTTCCTCCTTCTCCCTCTTGAGGGCCTCTTCGCGCATGACATCAGCGTAGGTCCTCACCGAGGGGTCCGGGGTCTTCTCGCCGGCGGAGAAGGGGTCGTGGCGCTCAGGGGAGATGATCTGGTTGAGGCGACGCCGGCGGTAATCGTCTTCTCGGTCGATGATGCGCTGAGGCTTGCGAAATCCGACATCGGCGTCCGATTCGGGGGCGGAGGGCATGTCCTTGAGGAGAGATTTGGGGGCGGTGTAGGAAGCAAGCTTGCGCGCAACCTCGTTGTCCATGGCGTCGAGATTCTCGTCATCCTCATTGGCGGGGATGGAAGTGAGGTAGGAGTCCTTCTCGCTTCCTCCGTAGAGATCGGTGTCGAAGGTGACAGAGTTGAGCGACGCCAGTTGCTGCTCCATTCGCTTCCGTTCTTCCTGCGTCTTCGCGATCTCGGGGTCCACCGACGCCATGATTATGCTTGGAACTCCTAAAACCCTAACCCTAGAGAGAGAAGTTAGGATTGTGGATGGATGGATGGATTTGGATTCGTGAAATGGATAGGAATTGGACAAGAAAGAAACCCTACGCAGGTCGATTAGTGAGTGAATCTTGAAGAAAGAAACACATTCTGATGCAACAAAACTAAACTATGCTAGGAGAACTGGAACCGACATAGCCTGCTGGGCCCAGCCCAATTCAGTTGTATCTATCTGGGCCTTTTTCTTCTATTTTCACCATTCCAATTTGCTCTTATTTTTTTAACAACAAAAATAGCATTCCAGATTAGAATATAAATAATGATTATTTTAAAATTTCGAGATATCTTTTACCAATAATTTAAAATGGTCATTACAGAAGATATTTAACCATATTTTAAAATATATAATCTAAAATGTATTTGGCATTCTTTTAGATTGTGTATTTTAACTTTCTTATTTGTCATCCCAAATATATAAAATAAAAGTTTTTTAATATAACCCAGATAACATTTTCGAGTGTGTCAATATGTTTGTGTGGTGAAAGAAATAAAAAATAAAAAATGAGACGTAGTAGAAAGGAAATCTCATCTCTAACTTCGGCCCCAAGTCCTTAGAAAAACCTCTATTGTGTAATACTAAACTCCAATTTGGTCAAAACTGAAATGTATGTCCCTTATTGATGCGGTGTTGCTATACCACCTTCTTCGGATATGCTACATAAATTCTCAACTTTACCATAACTTTTACAATGGACAATTTTAAGTTGAATGAAAAACAGATTGTCAATTTGAATATATTTTTACATCCTGGTGAAGTTCTGGTTTTATTAGATACATTTTATTGTTATTTTTATTAAATGTTAAATATTAACCCGACTACTCTTTTTAATTCATTTCATGGTATTTGCTTTTTTCTATTATTTTCTTTTATGATTAATAGAGTAGTTTTACCCCACACACACACACACACACATATATATATATATATATATATATATATATATATATATATATATATATATATATATATATATATATATTACGATCCATAAAGATGATATTGTTGTTGTTTTGATGAGCAAAAGTTTTCATTGTATTGTTTTTAACAGATAAATATTTTTTCTAAAAAGTTCAGATCTTCAAAAAATTGTTTAGGATATTTTAAAGAATTAAAATAAAGTTATATAGTTTTTACCTAATGTTTATATAAACCTGTATATTATTTTATATATTTCAATTTGTTTTCATTGTCTGCAAGTTTCATCATATAAATTTACACAAATATTGGAGTGAATTCAATCATTCACTTTGATAGATAAAGAAAAATAAGAAAATATGATAATTTGAACGTGAAAATAAATTTTACACAAACCTTTGAGTTTGTTTGTAAATTAATATGAAGAAAAGGTAAGATACAATAGTACGGGCATAGAAAGTATAGTACAAGCCGTCACTGTTCACTTTCTTTGATCTCTCTCTCATCCATGGCAAGTGCTTATGTCATGCCTCAGCAACCAGTCTAATAGTCCAGGCACAACACATACACGTTTGAATGTTAGATTACCCGACCCTTTTATCCTGATAAACTTCCAAAACTTTAGACAAGTTTTTTAGGTAGAAAAAATCAGCTAATAGGACTAGTAGAAAAACTAAAACAAAATTTTGACACTCATTACCAATCATGGCTGCTACCAAAATAAAGTTGACAGTGATGGAATTCATTCATAAATAACTACCAAATCGCCCCTTTATTTTACTGTGCCATTTGATATTTTCTTTTCTGTCTTTCTGAATTTCTATCTAAGCCCAAGAAGTAAATGGGCAAAGGACCAAGATGCAGACTCCTCGTGTATTGACTGGCAGGTTGGTGCTATTGTATATATATAGAATGCAAACATGATGGTGGATCAATTCATCAAATAATCAAGGAGGAAAATGGGTTGCCAACTGAAAACACAACTGGTTTTTCTCTTCCTTGTCTGGGGTTTATTGGCATTTCTATGCTACGGTCTTCCAAGTGAGTACTCCATATTAGCCCTCGAACTTGACCAATTTCCTTCAGAGGAAGGGGTGGTGGAACTGTTCCAACGATGGAAGGAGGAGCACCGAAAGTTTTACGGACAACCTGAAGAAGCAGAGTTAAGGTTGGAAAATTTCAAGAAGAACTTGAAATACATTGTAGAGAAGAATGCAAAGCGAAATCATCCTTACGGCCAGAATCTAGGATTGAACAGGTTTGCTGACATGAGCAATGAAGAGTTCAAGCATAAGTTTATTTCAAAGGTGAAGAAACCGTTTAGCAAAAGGAATGGCTTGCCTGTTAAGGATGGCTCATGCGAAGATGCACCTTACTCTTTGGATTGGAGGAAGAAGGGGGCTGTGACTGGTGTGAAGGACCAAGGAAACTGTGGTAAGTTTCTACAGTCTATATATATACACACCTATAGATTTATATGGAAACATTGATGATGATCGATTTAGTTCTATTATGGTTGTGAGTTATGTGGGATACCTGCTGTCAAAACTCACTACTCCAATTTCCCCTTTTTTTTGTCTTTGTGAAAGTATTTCTTATTGTTTTTTTAGGTAGTTGTTGGGCATTCTCTTCTACTGGAGCCATAGAAGGAATAAATGAAATAGTGACAGGTGACCTTATTAGCCTTTCAGAACAAGAACTTGTGGACTGTGATAGTACTAATGATGGATGTGATGGAGGCTACATGGATTATGCTTTTGAATGGGTTATAAACAATGGTGGGATCGACTCAGAAACTGATTATCCATACACTGGTGTAGATGGTAGCTGCAATGTCACCAAGGTCTTCTTTGTTACTGTTATATTTCTAAAACCTGCATTTTCCTTCCTGTGCTATTTTTCTTGGGATTGTGGACCAAATTGTATTTCTATACATCCAATTTACTTAATTTCTTTCTTGATTAGGAGGAAAGAAAGGTTGTCAGCATCGAGGGCTACTCCGATGTAGGACAAACAGATAATTCTCTGTTGTGTGCTACAGCGAAGCAACCTATCAGTGCCGCTATAGATGGTTCTTCATTGGATTTCCAACTATACACTGGTGTAAGTGTCATTTGACCGTTCACTATTGCAGAAGTGAAAACCAGAAAATGAAATTTGCTTTCATAAACTAGTCATTTTCACTTTTCTTGAACAGGGTATCTATGACGGAGATTGCTCAAGTGATCCAGAAGATATTGATCATGCAATTTTAATTGTGGGTTATGGCTCAGAGGGTGATGAAGATTACTGGATTGTAAAGAATTCATGGGGAACCTCTTGGGGAATAGAAGGATACATTTATATTAGAAGGAATACTAACTTAAGATATGGAGTGTGTGCAATCAATTACATGGCCTCTTACCCTACCAAAGAGCCTACTGCTGCATCCCCAAGTAGTCCTCCTTCACTATCGCCACCGCCACCTCCACCACTACCACCTTCGCCGCCACCTCCACCACCCCCACCTCCACCAATTAGTTGTGGAGATTTCTCATATTGTCCAGCTTCTGAGACATGTTGTTGCCTTTATCAGTTTTTTGATTTCTGCCTCGTTTATGGTTGCTGTGAATATGAGAACGGTGTGTGTTGCTCTGGGAGCGAGTATTGTTGTCCTAGTGATTTCCCCATTTGTGATATTGAAGATGGACTCTGTCTCCAGGTATGAGATATCATGTCTATATTCTGGCCTCTTTCAATTGGCAACATTCTGAGTGTAATCAAGATTAATCAATTTTCTGAATATACTCGTAATTTGTGTTATGCAGAACCCTGGAGATTTAATCGGAGTTGCTGCAAAGAAGAAAAAGATGGGAAGTCACAAATTACCATGGACTAAATTAGAACAAACAAAAAAGACATTTCACATGCTTCAGATGAGGAATGTTTTTGCTGCAATGCTTTGAATTTACTTCTTTCCCCTTTCTCTTTTATGATTAGATTTGCTCTATATTGTTCAACGTGGGCATGAATTATATTACTGATGTTTGATAATACCAATGTGTTTCAAGTGCTCGTTTGTAAGTACAAGATGATAACAAGTCTAATATGTCAGGTACCACATAAAAAAACAAAATTAATTATGGCTAAAAAATCTTCTTTCCATCCGGTTTTACTATTCACACCTGATTTTATACATCTATTAGAAACCAATCACATTTCCACCTTTTCTGAGTTACACAAACTCTTTTTTAAGTTTTGTTTCTATCAAATTCTTCTCGTTATTGTCATTAATAGAGCAACATTGAACCGTTCACAACCTTTTCATTTCTTTTTTTAGAAGAAAATATGCATATTGTTAAAAAAAAACTTATTTAATAATAGTTTTATAAAAATAGTTTTCAAAAACTAGGTTTAAGTTTTAGATTTTAAAAACTAACAAATTAAAATAAATACAATGTATTTTTTGGTTTTAGTATTTTTCAATAATAATTAAACTATATTATCTACTTTTATCACGAAGAAATTGTCAAAAATTGATTTCCAATCTTTATCGTGATTTTTTATTATTGTTTTTATTTAAAAGGTTTCTAAACCTAAGTTATTAATTAAGTTTTTTTAACTTATTATTTTTAAAAATATTTTTTTTAAATTGAGACGTAAGATTATTTTTAGAAGCTAGAAAAGTTAAAATAAACCAGCCTTTATTTACTTCCATAATACATGCATATCTGAAATTTGTCATTAATACCCTTTACTTATTTATTAACGTCCTTTTACCTGTAGAATGTAAAAAAATTGTCTTTGGCATATTATTTTTCATTATTTGATCTTCATCTTTTAGTTCCTTTCTTAATTTGAAACTCTACTTGAGTTTGGGTTTAAAATTTCTTAAATACTGGAAATACATTATTTCTTGATAAATTAACTTCGTTAAGATTACACTCTTGAATTGTTTTATCTCATACTTTGCCTTATGATTTTACGTTGAAATTTTACCTAAGAATAATAACAACCACAGTATCAGCAACCTAATAGAAAAACCCTCACAAATGAAATATGAAACAAGAAAAAATTAATATAACACATTTATGAGTAAAAAAAAAGTGTAAGAAATTACAACATTTTTTATAAATAAATAAATAAATAAAATAATTACCGGTGAAGCATGGATGAACTAATTACTGTTTGTTTATGGCTTATTTTTCCTCTAAGACCAGATATTTGAAGTAACTATCTTGGGCCAAAGTTGCGTAAGAACTTGGGTTTATATCGGCCCTGGGCCAAATAAGTCAACTTTACTAGTTCAAACTCGCTATTGGGTTCCTGGATTCTTAAATGGAACCCAAATGTTGACTCCATTGGCACTTTGAAATTGTCTTCATTCTTAATTTTCCATTAAAAAGAAACTTCAATTTCTAGCTTTCGTTAAGTGGATAGAAAGTGACACCAATTTCATTCATATTACCATCAACTTACATTACGCATATTCATTGTCCTTTGGGCTTTGCCGATTTAGTCCCCTCTCATCCAAAAAAACACATACACTTACTTTCCTTTACAACAACCTATGCATTAATTATTCAAGACTTTTTTGCTTATCAAAATTGGATACATTATTCAATAGAATAAATTATTATAGGGGAAGATAAATAATTTAAAATATTTAAAAACTTATTTGGTGGTCAGGATAGAATAAGATAATTATTCTATTTTGTTCTAATTAATTGTTTAATATATGACAAGATAAGTTTTTTTTTCTTCTTTATCGTATTGACTATTGATATTGTGTATTTATAATTTTAATATAATGATCAAATTGGTAAAATTTGGGTCATGTATATATATGATATATAATTTAAATGTGTTAGGGTCATTATTTATTAAACCAAATAATAAAATGATCTGACTAAATTAAAGTTTTGGCTAAAGGCATATGTCATGAAAATAAAATTGTGTAGAGATCATAGAGCAATTTCTAATTTGATGAGGGGCCAAATTGGAAATACTAAAACTTAAGTAATTAACCTAATTCTGGTTATTTTAAGGGGTCGTGGTCCCTTCAGGAGCACACACACGAACGTAAGTATCGAGTCCAGTTCCTTTCTTTCTATCCCCATCAAGAGAGAAAATCAAGAGGGAAATACAAGTGTTCTTCGGTGGAAGACCATAAGATCAATGTAGTGCTTCTACAAAGACATCATCGTTATGGCTAATTCGAGTACGCTTTCGCATTCAGCTTACAACATGTTTATCGAGTATGGGATTATGTTTATGTTTGATCGTTAGAATCAAAATCAGGATTATTATTATTATTATTATTATTATTATTATTATTATTATTATTATTATTATTATTATTATTATTGTTTTTCCAACAATTGATATCGAGTCGCCCATATTTGATTCATGTCCGTTTAATTTATAGAACCCTAATTATGAAAATTAGGATTAATTTTGTTTTAAACAATTCAAATTACCCAATTTTATGAACCCTAAGTGGAGAATAATCTCTAATTTTCGTGAACCCTAAAATTTAAATTTGGGGTAACATCCCCAATCTGATTCGCTGCTCGATGGAACCGTGGAGGAAGCTATGGATTCTTCTTCTTCTTTGTTTTTCCTTTTTGTTTCGAGTTTAAGTTTCAAGTTTTACTAAGAAAGAAATAGTGTTTCAAATTTCAATCTTTCTTGTATTGGGTTATCTCGTTCTTTTTTGAATCTTTTGTTTTTATTTAATTTTATGAGTTTGGAATTGGGGGTGGTGTTTGGGGGGTGGTGTTTGGGGAATTCCCAACATAGAGGATCTTAGGCAAGCTGGTGAATGTTTCCACATGTGTGGTCGTTATTATTTTATTGCCTCTATCCCCTAGGAATTTAAGGAAAATTTGATGTTAAATTAGGGTTTGAGTGATTACTTGTTTAATTCCCTTTTAGGGTTTAGAGCGAGTATGCTAAAGAGACTCGAACTATATCTGTTTCATCCCTAGTGTGATTTTAGGGAGATGTTCATCCTTTATGTATTGGTGGAAGATGAGGTTTTTTTTTTCATCCTTTGATTTATTCAAATGAGGTGTTCATCCCTAATGAGATTTTAGGGAGATGTTCATCCTTAGTATAATTCTAATGAGGTGATTCTCTTTTGAATTAGTTTGCAAATATTAAATATTTGGTTTTGTTATATAAATAAAATATTCAATTTTTGGTAGTTTAATATTTTTTTGTGAGCAAATTGAGTCAAGAAGTCACCAAAGTAACTTCTCTTGAATGGGACAGTTCATGAAAAATATTGAATGTTAGTGTTTGTGTATATTCATGCGAGTATTAGTCGGCCCAAAAGAAGATTAATATTTGGCCGAATTGCATACACACTTGTAATGATAAACATGTGATAATTATAAGGATTTGCTTTGTCGATGATAAATCAATCCAAAGACTGGTTTGTTGTTGGACGTGCTTTATTGTCAATGTTTGATTATTACAACAAGATACCTCTAACAGTTAATATTATTGTCCAAAGACTTGATATTGATGGTGCATTGAGTGTCTTGAGATGAGTTAAACCACTATTTGAATATATATTATTTATTTTTTATATAATGTGAGCATAATTAGTTTATTTCTCGTGTTCTAAATTCAGCTACAATTGCTTCTGTCTCTGCCAATTTAAATTCTGTTCCGGTCCTCAATGGAACAAATTTTAAAGACTGGAAAGAGAATATTGATATTATTCTTGGTTGCATGAATATGGATCTTGCGTTAAGGACTGAGCAACCCCTTACTCCTACGGATTCAAGTACCTCTGAACAGAAAAGAGATTATGAGAAGTGGGATCGCTCAAATCGCATGAGTCTAATGATCATTAAGCGCAACATCCCAAAGGTGTTTAGGGGCACTGTTTTTGAAAACATCACAAGTGCCAAAGAATTTCTTGTTGAAATTGAGCAGCGCTTTGCAAAAAGCGATAAGGCGGAGGCAAGCACTCTTCTTCAGAACTTGATCTCCATGAAATATCAAGGCAAAGGAAATATCAGGGAGTACATTATGAGCATGTCTAATATTGTTTTTAAACTCAAGGCACTAAAGTTTGAACTCTCAGAAGACTTGCTCATTCATTTGGTGTTGATTTCTCTTCCTGCAACGTTTAATCAATTTAAGGTATCTTACAACTGTCATAAGGATAAATGGTCTCTTAATGAGCTCATTTCACATTGCGTACAAGAAGAGGAAAGACTAAAGGAAGACAAGACAGAAAGTGCTCATTTTGCAAGCACTTCCAAGGCTAAGGGCAAAAGAAAGAGATCAGAGGATCTCGAGAAAAAAGCTGCTAAGGGTCCAGAACAAAAGAAACAAACTCAAGAAAATAAATATTTCTTTTGCAATAAGACTGGACACATAAAGAGGAAATGTGATAAATATCATGCTTGGCGTGAAAAGAAAGGGTTGCCTAAACTACTGGAAGCCAATTGATTCTGAAAGATGAATTTATGTTGGAGATGGTAAATCGGTAGAGGTGGAAGCTATAGGACATTTTAAATTGTTATTGAGTACTGGTTTTTTATTTGGATTTGAAAGACACTTTTGTTGTACCGTCATTTAGACGGAATTTGGTTTCAGTTTCTTATTTGGACAAATTATGTTATTTGTGTTCATTTGGAAACAATAAGTTCAGTTTGTCTTTTAATTCAGATATTGTTGGAACTGATTCACTTTTGATTTATGATAATCAGTATTTACTTGATATTGTGGCCACCTATAATGAAACCCTTAATACAGAATCACGTGGTACTAAACGTAAAATTAAAAATACTCACTCAGATGCATTATGGCACAAGTGCTCAGGTCACAATCAAATCATGACGTTTGAGCTTGTGTTACACTCTTAAAGATATGGTAGAGAGTATGATTTGTCATTCCACCTTACTGGAATCACTTTGGGAAGAGACACTAAATACGACAGCTTATA